CACCAGAAATAAATTCGAGCACCAGAAAAGTACCCAACAACTCGAGGGTCGGGCCCTGGGGGACATTCGGCCGACACTGTTTCGGCACTCTGTCGACATTTTTCTGGGTGCTCGAAATTAGTTCTGGGATGTGGTCCTTAAGTGCGATGGGAGCAATGAAATTTTAGCCTCCGCACATTTCCGCCTCCGACACCAGAGGCAATCAGCACACAGCAGCTATCATTGTTATCGTTGGTTGTGGTCCGCGCGCCGTGCTCCAGTGCGCGCGCACCATCATACTTATTCGCTGGTCGCTGCTCAACGAACCTACATCACGTAATGGCCGAAGCAATGTACACCCAAGTCACTGAGATGGTAGGTCGAAGCACGATCGTAGAACAAGACACGTATCCAAACGCTCTGTCAGAATTATTACTTTATCCCCTGGCAAACATTTTGCTGTCCGCCCGTCGAGCGTACGCGCTGCGCGAACGCTCGTGACACGAGGCTGGCCTCGCGGACGGGGGGGGTCGTATTCCTGTGCGCGGCTGGGCGCGAACGACCTTTTAGTGGGCTCCCCACTGCGATCACGTCGGGCCTGTCCCTCTACAGGAGGGATGCTCAAGCAGGGCCACAAAATAGTCCAGGGACCATTCTTCTGGCAATGTTTGAATATCTGGGGATGCTCCTTTTGGGGTACCTTTTAATTTGTCGCCCCAAATTCCCCCTGCGGGGGGACGTGCCCGACCTGACACTGCGATCGTCGAGGTCCGAGGCTCGACCGTCCGCCTCGGGTCCTCCTCCCCGCCCCCCACGGCCCTCCGACGGCGGGCGTGGGCCTCGCGGGCGCCGCGTGGCGCCCCCACCCCCCGCAGAGGCTGCCACGGCCGGCCGAAGCCACGTGGGGGGGGGCCTCCCCTCGGCGGTCCATCGGCGTCGCCCTCAGCATGCCCGCACCGCAGGTGCGTCGCCATGATGACTTGCGCCCCACCAGGGCCGGCGCACTTGCACTGCAGGTGCGGCCCCCAGTGCGTCGCCCCCCTCCACCCCCCCCCCCCCCAGGGGCGTCGCCCCAGCATGCTTACACTTTCGGTGCGTCGCCCCCTGGGGGAGAGGGGGGGGGTCGCACCGAGACATCCTGCAGTACACGTGTGTCGCGGCGGGCGCTTGCTGGCCACACCGCCCGGGACAGGAGCTGCTGCAAGGTGGGGCATGCTATCTGTCCGGGTCGGGCGCGCGCCTCCGAGGAGAGCATGCAGTGCAAGCGTATTGACGAGCGAACAACTCACACCCATACCCATAGGAGGGTCGAAAGGAGGGGAACTGGCTATGGGTATGGGTGCGAGTTGTCGGACCCTGGGGGGAAGCTTCCGTTCGAGCGGGGACCCCCATCCGACAACACGCACCCATAGCCTCCTCCGTCCCCCCTATGGGTATGGGTGCGTGTTGTTCGATCGTCACATATCTCCGCGCGTCCCAGTTCAAGGGTGGGGGTCCTGAGGGATGGGGCCCCGAGGGCGAGGTGCCTCCCCATCCCTTCGGGGGCCCGTCCCTGAGCCGCCGCCGAGCCATGGGGATCGGGGGCGCCGCCATCGGCCAGGGCCGCCCCGCGGCAGAGCACCCGACAAGGGGGGGGGAGGGGCGGCGGCTCCCCGACGGGGGCGCCCGCAGGGCCCCCCGCTGCCCTCGGTCGGGAGGGAGGAGTGTAGGCACGGGCACATATGCACGCCTCCTCCTCCTCCTCCTCCTCCTCCTCCTCCTCCTCCTCCTCCTCCTCCTCCCTCCTCCTGCTCCATTCCTTCTCCTTACGGATAAATCCTCCCTGCCGTGGAAGGGCAGAACGTTCTGGACTTCCCGACCCGGGTCCCTTTCGAGCGCCCTCCTGCTCCAAGGACCGATGCCCGTTCGTGTCCGCGGTTGCGGATGAGGGTGAGGGGGCGGGTGAGGGGGCGGGTCGAGGGCGGGTCGCGGGCCGAGCCGAGGGCGTGACGAC